AAAAGCAATGATTCTAAACCACCCACACTTCTTATAACTGCACCCAGAAAGTCTTCCTTGGGTACTTAGATCCTGTTTTTGATTCCTCACCAGCTCTTTCAAACTTTGGATCACCGGTAAATGTGCCTGTAGGTATGCACAATCATGTTGACTCTCATTCCAAGTTTTGGAAGGCATTGAAAACCTGTAGCATTTCCCTTGGTTCAGCAGCCAGTCTTTGGGGCACACATGATTATTTCCTGAAGGAAAATGTAGAGAAAAAAATTAGACTCCACCCTGAATAAAGTGTGAATAGTATCCTGTATGATTCAAAGGCAGCTCTATTAACAGAAGGAGAATGAGATTGATTCATTAATATGTCTATTTCTGGAATGGGGACAGGATACTGGGTGAGGAGTTGGGGAGAAAAAAGCATGTGAATTCTGACCCCCACAATTAGAGGACACCAATATGTAACATTTTGCTTATTCATAACTAACAGAAGTGAGAGCCTGTTGTTTAAATCTCTCTACTGTCTGGTCTGTTTCCTTTTTCTTAAGGTCGTCCTTACAACCTGGATTTCATTTCTATGAGATTACTTACTATTGACATTATTTACATGATTGCATTGGATAGTTTGATCCTCCTGTGCTTTTCATGGACATGGTCTCCCTAGTCTCAAATAGCTTTCTCTTCCTTCTTCTTCATCCAAATTATACTTATATTTTACTGTTCAATTGCATTTCCACCTCAAAAGCAAAGCCTTTAACCAGTCATAATTTCTGCTTCCTATGGCCTAGTCATTTGTGAACATCTCCTTCCTTGTCATTTACCTGCCTGGAAGGTTGTTGAAGTGACTGTCTTTGACTTTCTTATCATCTAACCCTTCTTAAAAATTTTCTTAATATTTATTTTCGAGAGATAGATAGAGACAGAGCACCAGTGGGGGAGGGGCCAGAGAGGGAGACAAAGAATCAGAAGCAGGCTCCAGGCTCTGAACTGTCAGCACAGAACCTGACACAGGGCTCAAACTCACAGACATCGAGATCGTGACTTGAGCTGAAATTGGCCATGTAACCAACTGAGTCACCCTCGTATAACCCTTTTGATTTAATGGTTGATTTAATTGTTGATTGGTGATGACTGAATTAAATGCCCATACGTTAAAGCATGTCATATTTTTCATTGCTAATATTTTAGTCTGTGATAGGTAAGTCTAAATATTTATAAAAAAATATTGTAGGAAATTGAATGTATATTGTCCAGCTGAAATGGAAAATAAAAGTAACATCAGGAAATATGACTTAAAGAAAACTATCCAGGAATAGTTTTCTATATATACAACTTTACATATATTCTTAACTCATTAATACATTCTGTACCAGGGCAAGTATTGCCAATCCTGAATAATTACAGTTTTGCCAGAATATTTGAAGACTCAGGATAACTGGAGTCTCACTCAGTTCTACCAGTACATAGTTGTGTGTTAAAAAGTATAAAATGACCTCAAGTATCCTTTCCAATTTATGATTTGAAAGGGGCTATCTATTCATTATTATTATTGAGAAAGAGGCATTAGGACTAAGTAATTGCATTACCTGGCGATTGACAAAGTGGTCAATAAAGTACAGCTGTAGAACTACAAAGACACTCTAAAAATGTTCCAAATGATCAGTGTCAATGTTGAAATATCAAAAAAAAAAATGATGCAAAATGTGGATATTAATTGTCAAAAAGAGTTCTTACAGTTAATTCAGATTCAAGTGCCATCTTTTAAAACAAGAAGAGGGGCGTCTGGGTGGCTCAGTCGGTTAAGCGGCCGACTTCGGCTCAGGTCATGATCTCACCATCCGTGAGCTCGAGCCCCGCGTCGGGCTCCGTGCTGACAGCTCAGAGCCTACAGCCTGTTTCAGATTCTGTGTCTCCCTCTCTCTGACCCTCCCCTGATCATGCTCTGTCTCTTTCTGTCTCAAAAATAAATAAACATTTAAAAATGATAATAATAAAAAAAATAAAACAAGAAGAAATATCCTAGGGATCAAGATGGAGTAAAACATTTAGTGAGCGACACTTTGTATCAATTCCTGTATCAGACGCTTTACATAATAATAACAACAGACACATAGAGTCACTATAGTGGACCAGGCAGGTTTCTAAGCACCTAACATACTTAGTTTTTAAAACTACTTGATAAGACAGAGGAACATGTTAAATGGACATGAACATATGAATAAATACCATGGCCGTATGAACAGAAAAATCCAGAATATGAGAAATGATACATAACCACGATCCGTTTTTTTTTTTTCTAACAAATAAATGACCAAGAAACTATAAAAGGGAGGTAAAGAGGACCTACAGATTAAGTGGCTGAAGAGACATTTTAATCAAATGCCAATTACGGTCTTTGTTCTGGGTCTGATTCTAACAAATCACATGAAAGAAAAAAAGACATTTAATTAAAAAAAATTTTTTTTAATGTTTATTTATTTTTGAGACAGAGAGAGACAGAGCATGAACGGGGGAGGGGCAGAGAGAGAGGGAGACACAGAATCGGAAGCAGGCTCCAGGCTCTGAGCCATCAGCCCAGAGCCCGAGGCGGGGCTCGAACTCAGAACTGCAAGATCGTGACCTGAGGTGAAGTCGGTGGCTCAACCGACTGAGCCACCCAGGCGCCCCTACATTTAATTTGTTAAATGCTTATTTATTTTTTCCGAGTGAGAGAGCATGAGTGGGGAGGGGCAGAGAGAAAGGGAAACAGAATCTGAAGCAGACTCCACACTGTCAGAGCAGAGCCCGATGTGAGACTCGGTCTCATGAACCAGGAGACCGTGACCTGAGCCGAAATCAAGAGTCTGATGCTTAACCAACTGAGCCACCCAGGCACCCCAAGAAAAAAAAAAAAAGACTATTTAATGATGACTGGATCGTAGATGATCTTAAGAAGATATCGATGATTTTGTCTTAGGAATTAATGGCAGACAGAAGTCCAACGTTCTTAGGGAAATTTTAAAATCTCCCCAAATTCCTGGCGTACCTGCTGTATGAAATTCGCTTTCTTGGGGTGTGAGTCAACTCTCTGAATATGATCGGATATCAGTCCCATGATTAAGTTATATCGTAGGATAAGATGAAAGAGTCTTGAAGACTAGAGAAGGATCCCCAATCAGTTGATTTTGAGTAAATGAAGAGATTATCCCATGTGGGCCTGTTTTTTGTTTTGTTTTGTTTTGTGTGTGTGTGTGTGTGTGTGTGTGTGTGTGTTTATTTTTTTTAGAGAGAGGGAGAGACCATCTCAAGCAGGCTCAGCAACAGAGCCCAATGTGGGGCTTGATCTCACAACGCTGAGATCATGACCGGAGTGGAAATCCAGAGTTGAGTGCTCAACCATCTGGGCCACCCAGGCACCCCCCACCCTAGATAGACCTGATTTCACCAGGTACTAGAGCTCAAGAAGGAGACTGGGCCTTTTCTAAAGAGAAAGGTAATTTCGATTTTCTTCGAAGCATTACGCTTTCACGTCTTGAGGGCAGGTGCAACAGTCACACGATGCACGGAAACGCAGGGGCCCTTTTGGAGACTAGAGCAGCCCTAGGTGACAGGCAGTGAGAGAGCCGTGATCTCAGTCCTACAATTCCAAGTAACTGAATTGTCGCAACAACCACGTGAGTCCACAAGAGGAACCTCAGCTCCGGAAAGGTGTGTGATCTCATCAGCACCTAAACTGTATCCCGTGAGACTCGGAAGAGTAGACTGAGTGGAGCCGTGCCCAGGCTCCCCTGGAAAGTGTGAGGTAATTAGCAGCTATTGCCTTAAACTGTTAAGCGAGTGTTAATTTGTTACGCATCCAGAGAAAACTAGCACAGGCTGTGTGGCGATGCCGCGTTTGCGTTTTGCAAAAGGAGCTGGGAACGGTAAAAAATCACGTATTGATATATTTAAGCATTAAGCGGCATGATATCTGACAATCGCTTTTAACGGAATCTGGTCTGGAGAAGTGATGACAGGAGGAGACGTAAATAATATTGATTATGTGCCAGTAAATGTTGATGCTGTTTGAAAGGGAATTATGGAGCTTCATTATAACAAGTCTCTACTTCCACTTTTATTTTGCATCATAAACGAATCTAAGAATATGATAACAGAAAATCGTATGAAATCGATTTTGTCATCTAATGTGCAGAACAGGCTGGCAAGCTGGAGCCCCAGGGAAGAGACGATGTTGCTGTTTGTGTCCAAAAGCAGACCGGAGGTCAAATTCCCTCTTCCTTTGGGGAACCTTCGTATTTTTTCCTCTTAGGGCCTTCAGTGGATCGGATAAGGCCCACGCACATTGTGGATGGTAATCTGCTTTGCCCAAACTCTACTGATTTATATGCTAATCTCATCTAAAAAGTAATTTCACGGCAACACCTACGCTAGTTTTTGATCAAACATCCGGGTACCAGTGTGTGGCCGCGATGACACTCAACCCTCACAGTGGGTTTAACCGACGCTACATATTCTATGGTTTAAGTATTATATCCCCACTTGAAAGTTGAGAAGACTCGTGGTTAATTTGCCTGAATTCACGTGACCAGTTGGAATCTCTTCATTCAAGCATAGAGCAGACAAAAAAAGAGAGCATTACCTGCTAGACGGCTGATATTTACTTTCTGGGAGAAATCCTTTTTTTCCTCTGTACTCAGTGCAAAGAAAAAAAAAAAAAACAATGAGAAACATGCGAAAATGAATAGCCATCTAGGTATGTGAGAATAAAAACAGTAGCACAAAACAAAGACACGCAAATAAAAATTCACTCTCTCTTCTAATCTGCCTCCATTCCTGTTTTTGCCCGCTTTTAACCGTATCTTTAGATGCCAATCACAATTCTGAATATTGTGTGCATTCTTAAACCTCGTATCTATTACTCTTTTGTAAATTATTTTCTTCTTATCAATGAATTTTTTAATTAATGCTATTTCTTCTCCGTCCGGACCACCCTCCCCCCTCCCCATCTCCCTTTTACTATATCAAGTCCCTTCAGTATCTTGTAGCTTCATTTGTAGATTGTTTTTGTATAGACTGAAATCATTGCTTTCCAGGAACATAGAACACCTGATAACTTGAAATGGCTTTTTACCACATTCTTGGGCTGGCTTCAGTCTGTCTAAAACCAGCACGCACACACACACACACACACACACACACACACACACACCCTCTTTATTTGTTTAAAAATATGCATGGAAAAATTATATTGCTTGATTACTCTTTTTTTAAAGTTAGGTTAAAATCAATTTAGCTCATAACTTTGAAGGCATTACTACAACAGTGTCCTTTTATGTACATTTAAAACTCCTGGTGCCAATATGTTTCTCTTTGTTTAGGGAGAAAAGCAATTCTTCATGTAAAACTTTAGGGTCATGTCTTTGCCCATGGTGCCCTAAAATACGATGAGGATCTATCTATCTACCTATCTATCTATATCTATCTATCTATCTACCTATCATCTACCAATTTCTATCTATCCATCCATCTTTCATCTTCTATCTATCTATCATCTATCTATCATCTATCTCTACCCATCCATCTATCATCTATCTATCTATATCTATTTGCATATCCTATTCTGAATTTGGTAGGCTTGCATAAGCTGGAAACTCATAGTTTGGGGTTTTGCTTTTGCTCCCCTGAAATTTTTTTAAATGTATTCTTTTATCATTTCACATCTACTTTCCCCCCTGTTCTCTTCTTCTGGGAATTTGTTAGAGAGACATTATCTTTTCTAGATGGACAATATTTTGTGGTTTTGTCTCAGATTACTTCCAGGTGTTTATATTTATCGATTTTTTCTTCTTGATGCTTTTCTGTACCCTCCGGGGTATTTTGTTCGCTATCATGAATTTTTAGATAGAAAGAAGACAGGAAATAGCCAGGCTATGTGGAAATCAACACACTGTGCCCCTCTCCCATTCCGGTACAAAAATAAGGGGACACATGCTTATTGCACGAACCACCACTCTCGAAGTGACAAGCCCTAAATTGTTCTGGTGATGTATCTCATTGTTTCTTTTTTTTTTAAACTTTATTTATTTTGAGAGAGAGAGAGAAACAGAGAGAGAGAGAGAGAGAGAGACGCATGAGCGGGAAGGGCAGAGAGGGAGGGAGAGAGAGTCCTAAGCAGGCTCCACAGAGCCAGCACAGAACCCGATGTGGGGCTCAAACTCACGAACCGTGAGATCATGACCTGAGCCAAAATCGAGAGTCGGAGGCTTAACTGACTGAGCCACCCAGGTGCCCCTGTATCTCATTGTTTTACAAGAATTTGTTTTTGTTTTTGTTTATTTTGGCATGATATAGTAGCAAATGCTACCGTGTGAGTGGAGTAAGAGGTTGTCAAGACAACAGTCTGAACGAGCATGCCCTAGGAAGTCTTCTAGCTATCTATTTCCCTTTAGACTTCTCTTTACACTCTGTACTGTCCTTTCTGAAAAGAGTGCTGCCTGGGTTTTGCCGTGAGGAATAATTTCATCTACACTGAGCTGTGTGCTGTGCCTTCTCTACACTGATTCTCTCCACTGATTAATCCAATAGCATTATCCTCTCTGCTTCTCATTTCCTTTCCAATTTTCTACCCTTTCCATTCTTTGTGCCTTTATTAATTTATTCTATTTTGATGTCTTTTACTGTTCTAATCCAGAATCTCAGGAGAGGGCAGATGTATGTATGTATGGTCAATACTTTGTTTTGAACTGGAGGCCATGGAAAATATTTTTAAACTGGTCAAATTGGAAGCACAAGGGACGCCTGGGTGGCTCGACTGGTTGAGCGTCCAACTTTGGCTCAGGTTATGATCTCATGGTCCGTGAGTTCGAGTCCCACGTTGGGCTCTGGTGCTGACAGCTCAGAGCCTGGAGCCTGCTTCAGAATCTGTGTCTCCCTCTCTCTGCCCCTTCCCCACTCATGCTTGTGCTCTCTCTCTCTCTCTCTCTCTCTCTCTCTCTCTCTCAAAAATAAATAAGCATTTAAAACAATTTTTGTAAAGTGTAAGCACAAATTTAATATCACTAAATATCACTAAAACAATATTACTAGAAAATATATTGTCCCTACTAATATTTCATCAATGAGTCAAATTCTATTCATCTCTTCTCAATAGCATCATTTTCTAAAGCAATGATTATTGCACCAGTTATATTATCATTTATCTTCTACAGAAAAGATAACTGAGTTACAAGAGGTCAGTGGTAGCCTATATATACCATATTTAGTGTCTAACAAAAGACCATTTGCTCTTGAATTTTAAGGACTTAAAAAAACTGATAATTATTACAGTATGTACAATTTCTTAGAATTGCTGGTTAAAAGACAATAATACTTACGGACTTATAATTACGGACAATAATACTTATGGACGTAGGAAAACCAATATTAATAACCTAATCTTGACTCTCAAATAGGCAGAGAATCTCATTTTATTAGTTTGATTTCAATATAAATTTGAACACATTTGAAGGATATGATTGGTTGGCAACTTTGTGGCCAAAATGTTGTGCAAAGTACAGAAAAACTAAATTAATTAGAATATTCATTTGGTCTTAGAAATAGCTGATATTTTCCCCCTGCTCTATCAGGAAAAAAAAAAACTAATTTAATCGCGTGACACAAAAATAAACTATTTATTTTTTGTCTCCCTCAGGGAAGTCGCCTTGGGGCTCACCCATGTTTAGCCCTCTCCTCTCAAAAACCACCAGTTTATGTTTCCATGTCAGCATTACATATAAAACAGAGCCCCTTTTAGCCCTACATTTTTAAGAACGTTTCAAAGAAAAACAGAAAATTGTCGAAATCCATGTATCGGTCTAGTTGCTTCAAAAAGAACAACTATAGATTATGCACATTAAATATCACTTCAGGAAAAAGAAAAAAACACAGTACAGAGGTACATCTAAAATGGTTTTCAAACAGGTCCTTCGTCTTGTTCAACCATCACATTAATCACATTAGTACATTCAATCATTATCTCTGAAAATAATACCAATGAGCATTTTATAAAAATACATCACTAATTTTTTTATAAAATAAGTTAACTTTTTAGTAACTGCTCTTCATAAGAAAAGATGCCGAACAAATGCTAATTTTATATTTAACTTTCTTAATTTTTTAATTTGAAATAATTTCGAATATGACATATATGGCTGGTCAGTTTAATTTACCAATTTGGGGTTACAATGTGGTGTTGATCTTGATAGTAGGAAGAATTAAAAATCGGGGCACTTGGGTGGCTCAGTCAGTTAAGCGTCCCACTCTTGACTTTGGCTCTGGTCATGATCTCATGGTTCTTGAGACTGAGCCCCATGGCAGGAGTGCAGGGAGCCTGCTTGGGATTCTCTCTCTCCCTTTGCCCCTCCCTGGCTTGCACACGCTCTCTCTCTCTCTCTCTCTCTCTCTTTCTCAAAATAAATAAATAAACTTAAAAAATAAAAAAAAATAGAAGAATTAAAAATCAACATTTATGTTCTCAAAGTGTAAAAGTTAATAAAAACTCCATACTCACCCCAAAAGTTCAGGCAAATCTGTGTGATCATGATAATAAGGATCCCAATGCAGCCACATACTAGCATAAGACAATAATACGGTGGATACAGGGAACATTCTGAAATATTGAGTTTTTTTGGTGAATTTTAGAGTTCATTTGATTATTCACTTTAAAAATATTTTCCTGTTTATTTTGATTACAAAAATAATCTATGTTCATTTCAGATATGGCACTAAAATTATGATTAATTGAAAATTTGAAATTAAAAAATATTTATAGTCCAGACACAAACAGATGTTACCGTTATTTAATGTGTTGGATTGTATTGTCATTGTCTTGCTTTGTTAATTATTTGGTGATGTTTTTGATGACTTAAAAATGATTTATTAAATTGTATATATTATGTATTAATATCATACACAATTTGTAGGTGGAGTGTTATATATATATTTATATTGCCTATATATAGTATTATATATTATATAATATCAATATATTACATATAGAATAATTAATTCTATATAAAATAATTCTAGATATAATATATATAATGTTATAATGTTATAAATGGAATTGTTTTTATTAATTTTATTGTTGGATTTTTTATTGTCAAGTGTATATATGTTATACGTATTATTTAATTTTTATCACAACATGATTTTTGTCTATTTGTGCCCTATTTTATTTTTTAATTTTTTTAACTTTTTTTTTTTTTTAATTTTTTTTTTCAACGTTTATTTATTTTTGGGACAGAGAGAGACAGAGCATGAACGGGGGAGGGGCAGAGAGAGAGGGAGACACAGAATCGGAAACAGGCTCTGGGCTCTGAGCCGTCAGCCCAGAGCCCGACGCGGGGCTCGAACTCACGGACCGCGAGATCGTGACCTGGCTGAAGTCGGACGCTCAACCGACTGCGCCACCCAGGCGCCCCTAACTTTATTTTTATGTAGTATTTATTTTAATGATGCACTGTTAGAAATAAGAGAAGGAAAAAAAAAAAAAAACATGTACTGAAGTTCTATTATGAACCAATCACGGTACTGGTGATATTCATGCTATTTCACTCGTACATATGCTATGTAGTATTTTCCTGACTTGACTTTTCAGACAAGAATCTGTGTCAACCTAAAGCATCGTAGATCTGTAATTAAAGGTACTTGTATAGAAATTATGCCATAGTAGTCCGCTGGATCAGAGTTGGGAGGAGTGGTCTCTTTACACAGGAGATAACAGGGAGCATCCAAAGACATTAAACAGGGATATTTGTTACTATTGTCCTTCAGTATTATCTATTGTCTTCCACGTCTGAGCACTTTTGAGTAAGTTAGATACATACACTCTTTCCACAAACGAAATCCTTTTACATGCAGATATCATCGGAACAGTATCTCAAACTGGCCATTCTATAGCCCATTTGGCATCCGGATGGCCAAAGAGAAAGTCGAATAATCTGATATTCAGATAATTATTCCCAGTTTCATCAGCTTGTAAAGAAACAAGCACTTAGTTCCATAACCTTGGTTGTACATTTCACAAATAATCTGTCCTCTAAGTCGTAATGAAAAGTGCTATTTCTCAGATCTGGGTAATACGTGTACGTTTTACTTTCATTTTTATGGACTTAGTGCGTCTGATTATATGTACAATACACACAGAATGTCCTGTATGCAGTAAAACTTCCGAAATTTATGAAACGATTGTCGGTATTACAGAATAAATCCAGAATACGCTTCTTTTTTTTTCCCCTTAGCCTATGGGTATTTATTCTACTTAAGCAAAAGTGAAAAGACCTCTACTGAGCTGAAAGTACTCAAAATACATTTCTGCAATTTTATAAGAGACACCCGTCCTAGGCATACAGATCTGCAGTTAACTGGTTCCATATTTGCTAGAAAGGGAAATTGTAAACTCATTCCCAAATACTATAGCTATAAATTAAAACATGATTTTTTTTTATATATAGGCCAAAATATAGATGTTATATAAAGCCAGGTGAACAGAGAGCTGAGTGCATAGCGTGGATTGCCCTGGCCCATTCTGGAATCACTCAACTCGGTGCCTTTGGCCTACATGGGGTAATACTAAGAAATCACTCTGAAACCTGTTTTTGCTCCTGCAAGAGTACTGTTGTGTTATTTGTATCTGCTTTATGATGGGAAACTTTTCTTTTTGTTTTTAGTACCAAGATTAATCATATGTCTTAAGTATAGGTGTAACTCTGATGCAAGCTGAATAATTAGCAAGGTTTTTCTTATCAAAACAAAGAAGCTTAGAAACAAACTTACGACAAGCATAAACATGCTTATGTGACATAGTTTTTACTTGACTGCGGGTCTCATTTATGTTTCCAGCCCTATCCTTCTTTCACTCATAATTTAAATGTATGTTTATTTCATATTTTATGTACTTATACTCAGATTTCATATATTTTTACTCATTTTATTCCAAGAATTACTTATTCCATTGAATTAGAAATTCAAAAAAACCTAGTAGTTTGGTTTAACACCCACATAAGCAATCACAAGATAGATCTGCTTTATTATAAGTGAAAATTATGGATTTAAGAAAAAAGATTTTCCGCAAGGTGGTCCACTTAGTCTTTGGGCTTTGGGGTCCAATTTAGTCAATTTGACTCCAATGGTCCTATTTTTTACTACATCAAAGTGAGTTACTGGTGAAAAAGGAAGTATTTGCATCAAAATTGAAACTACGAGAAAGACCCTAAGCCTTCAGATGATGAGAAAAGTATCATGTTTTTGAAAACAACACCAAAAAAAATTTAAATTTGCGAGATGGAAACTGGAATAGTACATAAAGATGTTCACTAGAAGTCCACATGGCAGAGCTGTGGTTGTGACCAGTAATTCCAAATCCCTGGCCCATGTCATCCCTGCTTGGATCATGGCTATTTCAACACGATCATTATACAAATTCATTGTAGACACACTGCGCTTAGACGTCAATATGTTATCTCTTAAACTTACCTAGAGAACCTGAGACAGATCTGAAAACAAGGATACGCAAAAGCAAACCTTGACCCAAATATAGCAGCCCTAAGTAGTGAGGGTTAGTTTCATTTTGCCCTTCTCTCGTTTCCAATGGACTATCCTGCCAATCTTATGGATCTTTTGTGAAGATTTAAAAATACAATATGTATACATAAAAATGCTTTTTATGCTGTAGAACACTATAGAACCGTCCCCATCATTAGCACTGGATCTTTACCTTGCCAATATATCATGTATCTTCATATAGATCCCATACCCAAATAGCTTCCAAATACCTTATATTTTGTAAGACGTATAATTTCTGTAAAAATACTATTTTTGACCTTTTACCTGAAAGTTACACCTTCCTTTTCTTATGCTATAACATTGTGGGGATTATACATTATTCTATTCGCATTTAGGCCCCATGGTTACAAAAACACTGCCTTTTTACTTTTCAGGCTTTCATGAGTCTAACTAACCTATCTTAGACAGTTTTTAAGTCCAAGAACATAGTTAATTTTAACTCTTTAAAATATTCAAAAATAAGACTCTTCCTAAGAGAATAATTCAATTTTAAGCTGCAGTCTGAATGGGGGGAGGCAATCTTCCTACCTTTAGAGCTGGATTTGAAACGATTCTTGGAATCCAGGACCATATAGCCATCTTCATTCTCCATCTCCTAAAATATTTTCATGTGATAATACTCAGAAAATAATATAAAGACAATGGAGAATAGCCTTAGCCTTAGATATTTCTCCTAGACACAACTGAAAGGAAGTCCAAAAATACTCAAACTTTACTCAGGCATGGCTGTTGAAAACCACACAGGATGTGTTGGTAAAATACAAATGGATAGCCACGTCAATTTCTGGCTGAAGTTCTGTGTCCTCCAGGTAAACGTGGCTATTTTATTTCATTTTTTTCAACAGATATTTATCCTACATTTACCATGTACCAGTCACTTGTCTGCAAAGTAGTAGGAACATAAAAGTGAACAAGACAGATATGCTTCCTACCCTCATGTCCTTTATATTCTAGTAAAAGAAAAAAAAAATGAAATAAACCAAGTACATACCAAATAAACAAAAGAACAGCGTCTAGCTAGTTAAGAATAAAAAAAATTTGGGGCGCCTGGGTGGCGCAGTCGGTTAAGCGTCCGGCTTCAGCCAGGTCACATCTCACGGTCCGGGAGTTCGAGCCCCGCGTCGGGCTCTGGGCTGATGGCTCAGAGCCTGGAGCCTGTTTCCGATTCTGTGTCTCCCTCTCTCTCTCTGCCCCTCCCCCGTTCATGCTCTGTCTCTTTCTGTCCCAAAAATAAATAAACGTTGAAAAAAAAAAAATAAAGAATAAAAACAATTTAAATAAAAAAAATTTTTAAATGGTCATTTTGCTATTTGGAAGCGTATAAAATGCTAATAGAAGCAGGTAGAGGAGACAAGAGGGCTTGCGTGAGGCAAAACAGGAAAATAATAGATCAATCAGCCTCAAATTGTTGGGAACACGAATTACTATGAATACAATAACGTCAGAGATGATTTCCAGAAAAATTCCTCGCAAACAGATTTTTCCCTCAGTGAGTGTGGTAGTCAATTTTATGTGTCTGTGTTCCTGGGCTACGGGGCGGCCAAGTATTTGGTCGAACATCCTGAGTGTTTTTGTGAAGGTGGTTTTGGATGAGACCCGCGCTTAGAGCAGCAGACTCTGAGGAAAGCAGATCGCCTTCTATGAGGAAGGTGGAACTCATCCAATCATTTGAAAGCCTGACTAGAACCAAAAGACTGGCCTCCTCTGAGCAAGATATTCTCCAGCAGTCCATTGTGTGTTCCTGCTTCATCTGCAGCATTGGCTTTTCCTAGGTTCTACAGCAGATGACCATAGCAGTTTACATTTTGGAATCCTCCCGTCTTGTCGAAGATCATCTGATCTGCCGATTTACCCCTCCTGCTCTTCCCTATACGAGCCTGACATGTAGTTTCTCTTGTTTTGGGGGCCTTATTATAAAGCAAATTTCATCCTCCTCCAACATCAGCCCACACTAACCTTCTGGTGCCAGTTTAAAGAAAATCAACTCATTTAAATCATCTATGACTTCCCAGATGCTAATTGCACTACATATATCTCGTATATTATCTTTTTTTTTTTTTAATTTGAGAAAGAAAGAGAGAGAGACAGAGATTGAGCATGGGAGCAAGGAGAGAGGGGCAGAGAGAGAGAGAGAGAGAGAGAGAGAATCTTAAGCAGTCTCCATGCTCAGTGTTGAGCCCAAGGCAGGGCTCTATCCCACGACCCTAGGATCATGACCTGAGCTGAAATCAGGAGTTGGACTCTCAACAGACTGAGCCACGCAGGCACCCCTCAGCCCTTATCAGAAACTCAGAATTATGTAACTTTTGAAAGAGAAAATCCCTTCTGTTTGAAACAGTCTTCTCAATTTTGTGATACTACATTCTTCTGGTATTTCTTTTATCTTCTCTGACAGCTTCTTTTTTTTTTTTTTTTTTTAATTTTTTTTTTAACGTTTATTTATTTTTTTGGGACAGAGAGAGACAGAGCATGAACGGGGGAGGGGCAGAGAGAGAGAGGGAGACACAGAATCGGAAACAGGCTCCAGGCTCCGAGCCGTCAGCCCAGTGCCCGACGCGGGGCTCGAACTCCCGGACCGCGAGATCGTGACCTGAGCTGAAGTCGGACGCTTAACCGACTGCGCCACCCAGGCGCCCCTGACAGCTTCTTTTTTGAGGCAGATTTATCTTTCTTTCATTGACAATATACTCTTAAATTCCCCACCATCCTAAATAATTTCCTGTCCTCATTCCACTTCCTCCTCAAGAAACTCTTATTCGTAACCATGGCCTAAATGAGTACCCATTTTTCAGCTTACCACTGAAACTTCCTTTGCGCTACATACAATACATCCAACTGATTTCTTAGTCTCGATGGCTCAAAACAAGTATTTCTAAAATTGAATGATGATTCGCTCCCCCCAACTGGTACTCATTCAGGGTTTCCTACGGCACGATATTTCACTGCTATCTAACCAGCTGTGAAAAAAGTTGTACTCCATCCTTCAGCCCTAATTCAAGTAAGCACCAAGTCCCGCAGATTTTGCTCCTGAAATATTTCTCTAATCTATATACTTCTCTCCATCTCAATAGCCTTATCATAGTACGAGGGACCCTCATCCCAGGCCTCCAATATTTCAATGACCTCCATGTGAGTCTTCAGGCATTCAGTGTCGTCCCCTCGGGGACCCAGCGTCTGTTTTCCTTTCTTCAGCCAGCCAAATCTTTGATAAACTTATTCAGCTTCCTATCATCTCTCATTAGCTCTTTCAGCGAATACAAATTGCGTGGCGTGAACTATAAGCACTGTAGTGTTCAGCAGTGTTTTCATTTCAAGACCCTGCTTTCTTCCCCCCACCCCACATAAGGACCGTCATCTGTACTATTCATGGATTCACCTTCTCTCCAAGAGTAGCTGCCCTTGACCAGATCCAGGCACAGCCATTTCAAGACATTTAACACTAAACACATTAATTATTGTGTCCATCATTTTCAGATTTTTCTCTATCAGACTTTGCATTACATTCGTGAAAGTCTGGAAAATGCAGACAAAACTTAGCCTTTATTCACTACTATATTTTTACAGTTCTGTTACGTTGCAACCTAGTTTCGCTTTCACTAGCAATTTTTCCAACTCTTTTTCTCCTATGAAAATTCCACCTATTTGGCATGATGTTTAGCTACTATTCTTCCCAAATATTATAAAATTAGAAGTGTTTCCCTTTGGTCCCAAATATCTGCCTTTTCTTACTGTGTCTTATTTTCCTTTTCCCTCCAAAATAAGTAATTTTTGACAGTGCTATTAATTCCTAGCAACAAATCAAAAGTTGTCACTTATAAAAGTTATGGAACTATCCCTTGCGAAATCAGATATCTGTGCTTTGATGACTCATTTAAGGGATGGTGAAACCCAAGAATAAGGCCTTTATACATTACAAAGATTTCATCAACTCTATTTTGCATGCAAATCAACTGTTGTTCAGACAACTTAAGTAATTTTACATACACACACACACAAATTCTACATTACAGAACTAAGATCTAGATCTAAGCCTTCCTTGTTCCCATTACCACCTCTCTGAGTCGGAACAGATGTTAGCTATCTCAGGACTGTGTCATGCATGGCATCGGCTTTGTCTTCCAATGGCCATTTGATGGAGTCTGAGATTACCCAGATCCTTCGTGCTCACTTTCCGTGAACACACCCACAATAACAGAAAAATTAGCTTAAAATTTGCAAAATTGCACCTGAGGAAACTTTGGCTAGTGAGTTATAGAGTAAACAGATCTTATTTCTAGGATAAGATCTTGGATCTAAGTTTCTCAATAGCTATAATTATAAATTATGTGTGTCATCTTCACTGGGACATGGGACGCCCAGATATTTGGTGAAATTTTTTTCTGGGTGTGTCTGTGAGGGTATTTTTGCAATAAATTGGCATTTGAATTGGTAGAACGAGTAAAGCAGATTGCCCCCCCCCCAATACGGATGAGCCTGATCAAATCTGTTCAAGGATTAAATAGTTTAAAAAGGCTGAAGAAGTTAGGAATTTTCTCTCTCCATATCCAGTTTGTCTTTGTGCTGTGATATCAGTCTTCTCCTCCCCTTGAGCTAGAACTTACATCAACAGCTCTCCTGGTTCCTGGGCCTTCAGATTTGGACTGGAGATACACCGTCATCCTCCGTAGAGGTCTTCAACTCACCAACTGCAGATTGTAGGGCTTTTCACATTCTATAGTTGCATGAGCCAATGGAGTTTCTGGGATTGGTTCTTTTAGATGATTAGAATGAGACACTAATGACTCTATTTTTAGTAGTAAAGAGAGTAGAGTACTGATAATCCATGGCAATAGAGATATGCAAAATATCTCCATGGATACTCCTAATCAACTATTTATAAGAAACCAGGAGCTAGGTGTTTGCATATATGATACTTTCATTGATGATATGATACAGATATTCTTGGAAAACTAACAAATATAATGAGATTGGCTGGCTGCTACTAATGTTGTTACTCAATGTGATGAAAGGAAAGGATGAGCTCAGGGATTCAGATTCCCAGCTCAAGCTCCACATGAATGACCTGAAAGCTTCTATGTGTGTCTTAAAGAACATCCTTGGCTTCTGGAGCTGCAAAGTTGAAATTACTGAAAACCAAATACAAAATCTATTGGGTGGGACTGGATGAGGGACAACACAAGTTGACCACCCAGCCTTGCAGAGTGTCTACTGCTAAAATGAGGGCATTGACTGGGAGAGAATGAGATCTTCTTAGTTGAAATGGGAACATATGAGAAGACCTTGGTAAATCTGGTAACCTATTTGATCTGTGCTGAAGATAGACAGATCTTGGATATTGACAATGGTTCACACTGAGCCTCTAAATTCTGATGAGTCTTCCTTACCAGTTAAAAAAGTTTCCCTACCCCCACTGGAGTGGCCTCTACAATACCAATGGAAGTGGTTTCTCTACCCACAATGGTATCAGCTTTGCCACTAACGAAGGTATAGGCTTTTCCACATCTGTCTGAGGGGATTAAACTTGCATCGCTTGAGGAAGTGGTAATAGCCTTTTATGAGGAAGTTGGCATGCGAGACAATATTGGTTCTCTT